GAACTAGATTACATTTCTTATGGTGTTTGTGTAGGACTGAGTTTCTATCTATAAAAATAAATGTTGCGAGGTGATCGCTGATGTTGCAGGTTATTACACCCGATTTTATCATGTGCTGCTCAAACTTGGTTATGAAAATATCAATTAATGTTTCAGACGTGGCAGGAATTCGCGTTGGTTGGTTGATTACATTAGTGCATAAATTAATCTGAAATAACGTGACAATCTGTTTCTTTGGTGCACCATCGCTCCTCAACTCGACATTGAAATCACCTCCCCAGATTAAGTTTTTTTTTTTTTTTTCTCTTTCAATAAAAAATGCCTCTAAAAACTACCGAAGTTCTAGAATATATTGATCGGGAGGGCGATAGAACACTCATATAATATTTTGATTTGTTCTAACGGAAAACTCTTCATAATCAGTCGTCGAACGACAGGAATCGGGCAGAAGATCGTACCCAATAGATTATTTTATTTTAATGTGTTAGTATTAGTGTTTACACGATAGGGAAACGCTGACGGCGTCCGCCTGTGGACAAAACAGTGGAAAGGGAAGCGCGCCGCGTAGAGAGGAGGAAGGGATGTGACGTCACGGGGCGGAAGCCAATGCGCGCGCGGATGCTGGGGCCAGTCTGAACTTGCAGTTGTGCGGAGCGCGTACATGCCTTGGTTTGTGCTACAAAAGGGAGTGTGAACCAAGTACTAAGGCTGGCCCGAGTAAGCGGCAAAAGAAGACGAGTTGTGAACGAAGGAGAAGGGCTGCCGAAGCCGGTGAACAGCGCAAGCAGCGCCAGGCAGCGGATGCTGTTGGCGTTTACCAAGGGTCGTGCTAACACATTCCCTAAGGATCTACCAATGTATCTTCCCTTTAATTTTAACATAGATACATTACTATAACGCTGAGTTTGTTTATTCATGGAATGGGTGTTATAATCAGGAAGCTTAAAAACATCGCTGTCATGTTTATACCATGTTTCTGATAGCATGATGAAGTGGGCGAGGTTTTGTCGGTTCATCGCCGCATATTCGGTCCATGGAGTTTAGCCTTAAAGGTGCCAGTTTCTGAGATCGCCTAAGTATGGCGATAACTCTCTCCGCTGGCTATAATCATCCTAGAAATCCCTAAATTATGACGATACCCGGATGATTTCCCTGTTAAAAAAAAAAGAGCAATCAAAGGTCGCCACACACCGAGGTCATCTCCAGCGATGGGAGAAGCATGTTCCGAAACCAGGACCACTGTCAGCCCATACCAAGCGAAGGATCCTCGCTTAATATTGGATTCAATCAAAAAAAAAAAAAAAGGAAGAGAGATGAGTGGACAAGTTCACCAGACTCGAAATGCTCCGGCGAAGGGAAAGCGGTGCTTCTTCGAAGTTAAGAACGTAAGATGGCAGCTTGGCGGCGCGGAGTGGTACAAAGCGTCTCTGCACCCTGTAAGGCAATGACAGTTGGGAGAATGGAGAAAACTTCAGGGAACTGCTGTGCTTCAGAGTGAAATGTGGTGACCATGCCCTCGAAAAACATCTCTCCACAGGCACAGGGAGGAAGATGTTCACAAGCAAAACTCAAAATGTCCTTATTGAACTTTGCAGAGACGAAGCTCTGTCCGTGATCTTGGCACGAGTTCGACAGAGCACATTTTATGACATTATGTTCGACGAGGAAATCAATGTGACTCACAAGCCTCAGCTACCTCTTGTTTTGAGGTATGAGCATGATCTAAAGATCAGAGAAGATTTTGTGGGTTTCTTGGATCCTCGAGAACTCAAACCTCAAGATTAAAATTAGAATTGATCCATGTAGGACAGCGGGTCCGACAAAAATTAGCACGACGAAGACGACGCACTGGAGCCAACACTGACAGGTACCAAACTCGGAAAATTCGTTCTAAGTCTAATGAAGTCATTGCCTTTTGACCCCAAAGGCTGTGTAGGCGTTGCAACCGACAAATGCTCAGTAATGACCTCCAAGCTCTGCGGTGCCATGCAAGAACTCCAAAAACTAGCCGTGTATGCAGTTCAATGCCCCTGCTTCAACCACAGCTTGAACCTTTCTATGTCCAAAATATCAAATGTGCAAAGTGTCCGCAACACCACCAGGACAATGCGGAAAGTCATTGCGTTTTTTTTTTTGTTTTTTTGTTTTTTACGGCCTCGCCCAAGCGTAACGCCGTGTTGAAACTCTAGCTTGGTAAACAACTGACCAAGTTATGCGACACACGTTAGATCGAACGTCACGACGCTGTTTTGCAGTTCAGAGGGTGCCTGGGAATGCGTTAGAAACGGATTCCCAGTGGCGAGAACAAAGATCGGCTGCCAAGGCGAAATCCCTGCTTACCTCAGTTTTGGATGCTGAAATCGTCATCGGAACCATAGCCCACTACGACGTTCTCTCAGCAACGCTTCCCCTGGGTCGGCTGCTCCAAAAGCCGGATCTCGAAATGAACAGTGCCTCAGACATCGTGAAAGACACGATCGTCGTCCTGAGTAAAAAGCAAAACCCATTTAACGTCGAAAAGACTTTCAAAGAAATTTTCGCACATGCAGAAGACACTGCCGAGAACACGGGAACCCAACTAGATGTGCCTCGTGTAGTGCATCGACAGATAAACTGCGCGAAATTGCCTCCACAGAAAGCCGAGGGCTCAGAGGTCAATCGCTTATGACAACTCAGGTTTGTTTACTATTGCTGGCTTAAAGTTCGCTATAAGAAGCGCGTATATTTCTGATCGCGCATTTAGGATCGTAAGGCGACAAGTGTAGTCACCGTAAGGAAACTATGCGTGTTTTCTGCTATAAAGCCGGTCGTGGTTTTCTGACAGCTATCGTCCGTTGTATTCATAATAGATCTGAAACAGCCTCTGTAGATTTTGTCAGGGAACTCGTGAAGGAGATAGACAACGAACGTTTAACTTGCATTTCATTTCATGCTAGGAATAATAGTGCGTCACCACGAGGCGATTTGTTTGTTTATATTATCACACCTACGTGTGTTTGACGTTCTCAATCGTTTTTGCGATTTAAACATTCGCTTGATTGGTTTATTTATGAATTATAAATAACTGTATACCGTGCTCGCTCCCATGTCGTCAGTATTTAAAGTGATTTAATGATTTGTTTCACATATAAGTTTAGTTCACTGATTCAAATATAGTTACTAGCACGACTGTCTACGCCCTACGATAGAGCAGCACCGTTATAAAGCCTTTGTCGGTTCTAGAAACTGTCTCTTTCAAGCCGAAGTCGTGCGGTAGAACCTACAGAACGAAGACAAGCTAAGTCGGTGACAGGGTTCAGGGAAGCTCCTCCCTCCTCTTTCCTGTTTAGCAGAGCGAACGCTCGACAGAAGGCGACCTCCTAGCATTTGCTCCGCTAAAGTGGAAAGAGGTGGGAGGAAGGTCAATTTAAAATAAAAGTTTGCTGTCGTTTTTTTTTTTTTTTTTTTTTTTTTTTTTTGGGGGGGGGGGGGTCGTACTTTACTTAATGTTTTCCCATCACGAGTTAATTAGCTCAAGACAATGCAATGCAGACGATTAAGGAGAGTTAAAAAAAAGGTCGAGTTGTACTTTTCTTTTTTTAACAGTGACGTGCAATTAAAATAATCAGATGTGTTTATGCATTAATAACACATTCACAATAATGACTAAGCATATATTTTTATATATTCATAAAATGTATTTAAAGATTATTATTTTGATAATTTTGCGCAATTTTATATAAAGTAGTTTGTTGTTAAATAATGTGTTAACGTGTCTCTAAAACCAATAAACAAAAAAAGTGTCTCTAAAACGTGTTTACTCGTCTTGTTTTGTTGCTTTTTTTTTTTTTGCATATAAATATTTAATTGTAATTTTTAATATTCGGTGTACATATTATACACATTTCATAAAAAATGTGGAAAAAATATTACTACGTGTATGCTTCTGTGTGAAATTTACGGCCATTAAAAATACCATGTGGAAACATTGGCAATATCCACTCCTCGAACTTTGAAATCCCATATCTGCAGAAACAAATTAGCTGCAACGTTCAAATATAGCTGAATGCTGCTCCCAAGAACATGACTTTCACATATACTGTATATATATATATATATATGCATAAATATCAAAAATATGACCCGAACTATCATTGTACGATCTGACGTGGAAACGCCCGTCTCTCTTTTCATTTGAGGGTCTCGAACTGAGCCATCGGGGTCACGTGGTTTATGGGCAGAGTTCGCAACACAAGCTGTAAGGAGGAGACGAAGGCGTCTGCCGTTTGCGAGCGCCGCAGCGCCATCAAGCTTTGTTCAGCCTCTCCCCCTGCTAACTCCCTCGCCAGGCAGCAACGCACGCATGAGCATACGCAACCGATCCGGGCAGAACGAGTGCGACCGGTTTGAGTTGTTTCTTCTCTTAAATCTTGGCTCTCCGGCTCGACAGTGATGATAGTGGCGATAGTGCCGCCACCTTGGAGATACAGTCAAACTGGCGCACTTCGTCTGCTACTGCTGCTCGACGGCGTCTTCTCGAGTCGGCCAGATCTCGCGCCTCCAACTTTTGATTCGGGTAGCCGTTCAGTGCTGAAACTTTGGCCTCCGGTCCAAACTGCTAGCGCTACATTTGGGCGGAGTCTTTGCTTTCGGCAAAGCGCAGTTTCTTTTCGCGATGAGAAAAGCACCGTTTTCTGTCGCAGTAGAAGGGGAAAAAAAATATAATAGTAATAATAATCATTTGGCGATTTGTTTTTGGTTCCGTAAATGCATAAAGACTACCATATATATTTATTTGCTGAAGAAATTCGGCATTCGGTACAAGTCTTTCGGGGCGAAACTACTCACGAAATCAGTTTTATGTGACTCTCTCACAATATTCTGAAAATTTAATTCTTTGCAGTGAGAACGCTGAGCCGAGCAGTCGGCGGTCCAGGGTTTGGAAGCAGTTCGCGCAATTCACAAGTCAGTTAACCAGTGTTCTAATTTCCTTGCTTCTGCCACCTTCTTGGCAACAACAGAAAGAAGAGGAAGATCGAATTACTGCGACCCGCACTGCTCGCTCAGACCTTCAGAACACAACCTAGTCGGCCGCAATACATGTCCGCGAAGAAAACACCACAGCCACAGCCACGGGTGCCACGGCTGCTCCCGCTGCGACCTGAAAATATTAGGGTAAGCCCCTGTTTCTTCTCGATACGTTTCAGGATTTAGACGAAATAGCGCTACGCAATCACCGTCAGCAATTGGAGGTATGGGTGGTTGAAGGGTAACTGCGGTCAAAGTTTGGTCCCAAACAAAAGACATATTGCTTTATGGGGTGCGATCGGATCTTAACTCAAATATAACGTCGGAATGATGCCGGAATACACAGGTATCAAAAACGCTGTCATTAGCTAGGGAGTCAGTAGATCAGCTGCTGCCGCTGCTGCTGCTGCCACACGGGGCAAAGTTTCGACATTTTCATGCATTCCACGCTTATTCCGCTGCTTTCACCGAGCTCGCGACTGGAACTGCATCTTGGATGTGCTCATTCACAGCCGGTCGATTTCACCATCAGAGAAATCAAGCGGCCAGTCGTATTATGCACCTTGGTACGAAAGTGTCGTCACCACCGTCTCCACGGCTGATTACCAGTGTTACCGCCGCTCAACTAAAAACAAGAGACGGAGGCTTACCTCTCACGATCTCGAAGTCCTTTGTCGTCAGCAAACAAGTCCTGACAGTCAGTGAGGAGCGCAGGTGAAAGTCCAGCGCTACGTTCTAGCTCTGGACATCAATGCATCGCTGTTGGCAGCCGTCCATTTCGACTGGGCCATTTCCTGGAGCCACTGCCTTGACCGAGGTGAGCGACCGCAGCATCAACCACCAGGGGTTTATCATCTAGAACGTTCATCGAACGGCCCTCCGAAGGTCACCTTGGCTCGCTGGCCTACTCGCCTGAACCGCCACCGAACCTCCAAGATTCGCGCGGCGTTTTAGAAGAGCATGTCGTCATCATCATGCATGCATGTCGTCCTCAGCACCATCGAATCGCCAGGGCTTTCGCAGCCCCAACGCTCAGTGAACCCTCCGGACACCACCCTGAAGAGCTTGCCAAGACATTTATTTATCCGGGTACAGCCAGCGTCTCATGGCATCCACCACCACATTTTGTTAGTCATGAGACCAGCTGCACAGAAGACCGGCCCATACGAGCAGCCGGTTAAAACGGGGCCCTCATCACCCACCACATCATCCCGCCACCCTCACCCATAATCTCCATTTCAACATCTTCAGCACCTCTCTGTCATCTGTACAATATCTCATCACATTATCATTTAATGCGGCGCCTCAGGCCTTCATAGTATGGGGTGCACTTGCCTTTCTGCGGCGCCGCGGTTTTCCTGAACATCGACAAAAACAAAAACAACAAACAAACAATTTCTTCTACATTTGCGTTCGCCGGTATGTAAGAGGCGCGTCAGTGAATATAATTTTTCTTCCTCTTCATCTTCATCCTCATCTTCGTCCTCGTCCTCATCCAGGCTGTTTTTTCTTTTTTCTTCGTCATCGTCATCATCATCATCATCTACTCAATATTCACATTTGCATGTGAATATATCGAGTGTAAAAAAATACTGGAGCGATTTTCAAATCATTGCACGAACAGTGGGAGCTACTGTAGACGTTCTTGCTTTGACGGAAATAAATGTTCGAGATGAAGTTTTGCTAATGCAAGTTTCATTACTGGGCTACGAGGCGTTCTTTTCTACCCGCAGCAAGTATAGGGGAGGAGGCATAGAAAGATAACTGGTCGAGTGTTGCTCTGACGATTAGATTCCAGCACGCCGAATGCCTGTCTTTAGAACTTTTTTTATTGACTGCGCAATTATATCGCTCTTGGTCTTTTACACACCACCGTCCGAAAATGTTCCTGACTTTTTAGAGGGTTAGATATACATTCGAAAACAATGTCATCCACCGATAATGTTTGCCTGGTTGGTGATTTTAATATCAAGTTATGAACTCCATCAGAACCGCGATAGTTTGCGATCATTTAAATATCCTAGCCAATTACGGTAAAAAAAAAAAAGCCATATTCAAGCACTGACAAGCGTATACCTCCGAGATAAGATAAATATCTAGCATTGATCATATCGACGTAAGAAATTCGGGACTACCTGTTTTTTCCGCAGTAATTCAGCAGAAGCTCAGCGGATCATTCTTTATATAGTTCGCGGAATAAATTCCCTGAACGTCTCCGAAGAAATCATTAGAACAACATTAAAAAAATGATTGAGGCTGGTCATCTTGATAGATTAATTGTAGGTTATGACTAGGTATCTTTTGTTAAGAATAGAAGCTGCACAGATGCGTATTCGAAATTCGTCGATATATTTACGGACTTTATATCCATTAGTACAAAGCTTGAGTAAAAATGCGGAGAAAGGATCAACCATTGTTAAGGGAGGAGGTTTTTCAGTCATAAAAAAAAAAAGATATTTTATGGGCACGTTGTCGCCGTTTTTCAGGAAATAAATATTTAAGAACAGATTATCAAAGTAAGCGAAACAATATGTAAACATTTTCAGGAAATGTTTTCTCAATCATGATTTGATATAACAAAGACTTGGGCCTCCAAGCTATCTCTCAAAAAAAGTATCGTAAAAAAAAAAAAAAATTGGGTTTATAATTTTTGCTTTGAAGGTGGCTGGACATGGAAGCTGTGGTATCAGCTGCAACGATTGCCCACTGCACCATAGACCCTTTTTATGGTAAACGTCACCACGTGGTACTCCAACCTTTGACATCCCAGAGAACTTCCGGTCTATAAAAATAATGAATAAAGGCCACCTTAACACCGCTGCTTGAAATCTAGATGAAACGTTTAACCAGAAATTCTCCAGGTGAACGCCAAAAGAACGAAGGAGTGCGAGATATGTTAAAATGTTTCGAGTATTATTGTAAACCAAGTTGGGGGCCTCCTCCGAAAAGTAATATTGTACAGCCAAAGGCCCTCGTTAAATCTCCATCTTTGTTGTTTGTGTAGCAGCTATGCTTTCTAGCACTGGTGACATAAGCAATGTCAAGAGACTTGCAAAGACGGTGCGACCGGAAGTCGCTTGGGACGCAAGCGGCAGTTCACGTTTGTAAACAGCAAAAAATATGCACTGTACCAAAGTATACATACATATATATATATATATATATATATATATATATATATATATATATATATATATATATATATATATATATATATATATATATATATATATATATATAATTTTAAGCACAATAAAAAATACGACTGCACCTCGTTGCCTGAATCCAAATGAAACCGCCTATAAGTATATATGAAGGAATTCGTACGTTGCCGTTGTAGCGGAAGCTTATGCAACCGCAATCTTTACCGAGAAACGCATGCCGGGAGCGCTACGTGCTTCGCATTTTTAGCGGGGCTAGTGACGTCACTCCCCACTTCGTACGCTGCCGTTGCCGCGGCCGCTTATACAGCCGGTATCTTCACCGAGAGATGCATGCGGGAAGCGCTACGTGGTTTGCATTGTTCGCGCGCGCCTTATCATCTATCATATGGTTTTGACGCTTGTTTTGTGGTTTTCTTACTGAAACAAGTGTCAAAACCACACGATAGATGATAAGGCGCGCACGATGGTTTTCTATCGACTATTCTGTAGACCACTGTTCCGTCGACGGGCATGAAAAGACCGTACCAACAAGTCATGTACAGCTTCGCTGTAAATGTTTTGGTCATGACGCGGGGAAAATTGCTGAACGTTTCAACAGTGTTTTCGCCTCTGTATCGGGTGTTTCGCAAGATGACGTCGCTGTGCCAGCTAACCTAAATAATTATTCTCGGTGCTCCGCCCATGTGCCAGAAATTACCCTGGACGACATTCGAATTTTGTTATCTATTTTTAGGCTAAATAAGGCACCAGGCGGTGATAACAGTCCTTTCTGCGACTTACGTCGAACTTTCGCTACATTTAGGTAAGCCGTTGCTACATAATATATCCAATGGAATTCCAAGAAGCACCGTCATTCCCGATGACCTGAAACGCGCAATAGTCAGACCTCTATATAAGAGACGTAAGCGCAAAGACGTCGAAAGTTATAGGCCAATCTCCGTCCTTCCTTGCATAGCCCTGGTACTTGAAATCATGTTTCAAAACAATAACGTTTTTAAGAGCGCAGCTCTTAGGGGCCCGTTTCCAGCCTGAGCGGCGTCGGCGTCGGCGTCGGCGTAACCGGGGGGGGGGGGGTCACGTGACCCCCCCCGAGGTCACGTGATCCCCCCGAGGTCACGTGACCCCCCAGGTCACGTGCCCCCCCCCCCCCCCCGAAGTCACGTGGCCCCCCTCCCCTGAGATCACGTGACCCCCCCCCGGGGTCACGTGACTACCCGCAGGTGACGTGACCCCCCCCCCCCTCAGTACCCTTCCCTACTCCTCCTCAAGGGCTGCGCTCCAATTCGGCGTTACAGGGATTTGTAAACGGCTTTCATTTTTTTCGATAAGTTCAATGTATTGCCGTCACATCAGTATGGTTTTATCGCGGGGCGAGGCACATGTTCGTTACTTGAAGATTTTGCCGACACGTTATACAATCTTTAAAAAAAAGGTTCCCAAAAGGCTACCAAAAGGGTGAAACAACCAACTTTTACACCCTCAATCTGGTGAAGGAAGTGCCTTGCTTATTACCTTCTCGAAGGACACTTGCGCCCCCTATCAATCTTAAAAGAAAGGTTGCCAAAAGGTTACTAAAAGGGCGGAATAACCAACTTTTGCACCCTCAATCAGGTGAGGGAGGAAGTGCCTTGCTTATTACCTCCTCGAGGAGTTAATAAGCAATAGCGCCCCCTATTTGAAATGCGTTTTTAGAGGGTAATGTTAGCCCACGTCAGTTCCGTCGTTCTCCTTTGGATTTCGTCGGCGGTGGAAAGCTGGTACTTCTCGCTTTTAGAAACCATGTTTTTGCGTGAAAACAGACGGAAAAAAGCTATTTTTATGACGTTTTATTGGATATTAGTACCAAATGACAGGAGTGTGATGTTTGCATACAATTTTAGTTAACAGGGTTTTGCGAAACAATATTGTTTTTAAACAACCATGTCTCACCTGTGACTTCGGGTAGCGCGTCCGCTTTGGAGACAGGGGTTGGCAGCCCTGAAC